GCATATGATCTTAAGGAGAATCCAAAGGAAAATGCTCTTATAAACAAATAAACTATTTTCAATTGGCTTCTGAAATTAATAAAATTGAACAATGCAAATATATTTACTAAAATCGATGAGAACGGAATTAATGACAACAAGCAATGCTTAAAGCGTCCCTTGATAGATGGGAAAGTAGTATCAATGTTACGGCGTTTAGGAACTACACTTTCCCATAATATCTTCAATAAAAACTCAAACTCTTCAAAGTTATTGGTTCCGCAAATAATGAGTCCTACCGAATCAAAACCTCGTTGGACACGTAAGCTGGATGATGATGAAATTGTACTCCATTTTAATTCAGCAATATCGGAAGTACTACCACAAGTAATTGAGGATCAACAACAAAAACTCAGCGACAAATCTTGTGTGCCAATTATGAATGTGAAGCAGGCAAAGAGAAAATTAACGTATCAAGTATCAGTTGATGAAGATGTTAGTCAATGCATTTACAATGTGTTACCTGAAGGCTTGAGTATTTCTTTAGTTTAAGTGGAGAAATTTACACTCCCTGCAACCACTTCCACAGTGCAAATAAAAACAAAATGTAAAACAGTACATTTGTGTGAGTGAAAGTGTATATTTATGATATGATGCATATACATAGAAAACACTAACAGTATGCTCATCTATAAGTTACTCGAATGTATGTATGTAGCAAGTATGAATGTTGTATATAAAATATTCTTTATATGCGATTCTTAGTCAAACTTTTTAGGTTATTACGTACTCATTATACAATCTAATTTAGTTAGTTTAAAATTAGTATGTTAGTATGTTAAAATAAAATCATAATACAAATGTATATGCTAAAAAAAAACTATACGTTATGTTCATATTTATTCCTCTGTAGCAACTTAGTGGTTTATGCACATCGAAATAATAGGTGTATTTGATTCGCCAGTTTTCTGATCTCTTCTGCTGTTGTCAAACAAATTAAAATTAAAGCAACAACAAAGTTATCGAGTTGGATACGTACAAGAGAGTATACGGATACCTCATCAAAGTGGTATAACCGCTATATCAATGCTACCAAGTTTTTTTGCACATTTTAGAGAAATTTTACTATTTTGAATGAAAAACAATTTTTCTTGTTTCTTGAAAATTTAAGCTATAATACTTGGCTGCGAGTGCACACCGGTGATCACAACGAAAAGCCACCCCCAGAGCCAATGTATCACCGGTGATACACGCCTATACTTGTAATTCAAAACACATGTGTATTTTTGCGTGACGAAGTGCAAGAAAGAATCATGAACCTATTGCGCATGCGCCAGAAGACATGTTAGCCAGGGTCGCACCCCATGTACTGCCCATATGTTTGAGCATCTGGTATAGTTTTCCGCGGTGATTGTTCGTAGAAAAGAGGAAGTGAATTTATGAACTTCTCAAAAAACTTAATATTTCGAGAAGTTTGTTTGCCCAACTATTGATCTGTTTCCCAAACCACTACAGTTGATGACAGAAAGAGAAGTAATCGTCCTCGCGTAGTTCGAACCAATTCAGCCATAACAAGTACTACAGATTTTGCCCTCTCGCAGTCTGCAGGGATTACAGCCTGAGAAATACCTTCAGGTGGATTGAAATCATTTTGGTATTTTATTAACTTATATATTTCTTATAGACTCAACTAGTTTCATTACTTCATTTTGCTTAACCAAAACAACTACATTTATTAAAATCAAGCTAATTAACTCAATTGTGATACAAATGATATAAACTCAATAAAAGCAAAACATTAACCAGAGGATCGGAAATCCGTATTTTAGCGATATGATTTTTATACCAAGGTCTAGACTCTAGACCAATTCCATTCAATTCGATGCCATACGTCATTATTTTTATACTCTCGCAACTTGTTGCTACAGAGTATAATAGTTTGTTCACCTAACGGTTGTTTGTATCACCTTAAATAATCGAGTTAGATATAGGGTATGTATATATAAAGATCAGGATGAAGAGACGAGTTGAAATCCGGGGGCTGTCTGTCCGTCCGTCCGTCTGTCCATCTGTCCGTCCGTCCGTGCAAGCTGTAACTTGAGTAAAATTGAGACATCTTTATGAAACTTGGAAACATGTTACTTGGTACCGTGAGACGGTTGGTATTGCAGATGGGCGTAATCGGACCACTGCCACGCCCACAAACGCCATTATCAAAAACAAATAAATTGCCATAACTAAGCTCCGCAATAAGATCCAAGACTGTTATTTGGTACACAGGATCACATTAGGAGGGCATCTGCAGTTAAGTTTTTTTAAGTGGGCGTGGTCCCGCTCTAATAGGTTTAATGTGCATATCTCCTAACTAAACCGCTAATGCTGTAAAAACTAAATTCACTGGAAGCAAATGTTTTAGAACCTCTATTGACGTGTGAAAATGGGTGACAAGCCCACCCACTCCCATATAACGGTACTGTTAAAAATACCGAAAGCGCAATAAACCAAGTACGGAACACGCCAGAGACATTACATTTTATCTCTGGATGGTATGAGAATACTTTATAGAAACCACGTTCAACTTAGTCAGTGAGCTCGGCACCGCCCACTTTAGGTCCATATCTGGGATCTTTCAACCAAATTCGTGTGCATAACGTTTTTTCATATTTTTATGTTATAGTGCGAAAATGGCGAAATCGGACTACAACCACGCCTATTTCCCATACACCATTTACAATCCATCTGATTATTTCACTTTCCACTATGCATATCAAGCAACAATGATTATATCGGGGTAAAACTTGCGTGAATAATACGTTTAAGGTATGCCACCTTGTACCGAAAATTGTCTAAATTGAACCAAAACGTCCAAGCCCCTAAGTACTAAATATGTGGACCCCAGTGCCTATAGTTGACCTTCTATCGAAAATATCAGTCAATCCACAAAGAAATCTCAAACGAGTATACCATTTGACTTTGCGAGAGTATAAATGTTCGGTTACATCTGAACTTCCGCCTTCCTTACTTTTAAGACAAATTTTCTTCTTAATATCATTACAATATCACACGTTATGACCGACATAAAGCTTTAAAGTCAGATGGAAAGTCAAATGGATGGAAATCACTATTTCGCATACATTGAGCTAGGGAAGACCTGACTGATTGCATTCACATTTGGCATTACTCAAATATTCTCGAAAACATATGAAGATAAGTCTCATATTGACCGACTTATTGGGCATAAAGTCTGCTAGACTAACGAAAATTATTATAAGTCGTATATGGGAGCTGGGATAATTCGTGGATCGAACACTACGATATCCAGTGTTCACTAATTTTGTGAAGATATCTTATATTGACTATATACGGTATAAAGCCAACCGAAAACTAAAATTATTATACAAGGTATATGGGGTCTAAGGACCGTATTGATCCGATTTTATCCAGTTTTGGTAATACGACATATACCAGAAAATATGTTCTCCAAATGTTATTAAGAAATCACACAGATTGACCAATATATAAAGTATAAATTCAAGCGGATGATTAAAATCCTTTATTAAGTATTTGAGGCAAGGATACATTATTATATTCGGTATCTATTCTTGCACATCTTAGTCCGATATATTCACTACTGCTGCTGGATTTGTATACAGGAATAAGCATCAGATGCAATTTAAAACTGTTATTTCCCATATTTTATGTTTATATAAGGCATGGTTGTGATTCGAGATCGCCGACTCTCACAATGTTAAATAAAAGTGTCAGAATAGTATTATCTAGAAAATTTGGTTGAAATTCGTTGAGTTTGTCCTATGATATGGGAACTCACCTAAGGGAGGTACCATGCCCATTTTCTGATTTTCATACCGGCTTTCATAAAGACTTCCATACCATGTTTACTTAGTGAGTTATCGTACTTTTAACAGTTTTCAATATAACCGTTGTATGGGGTGAGTTGGGATATTACCCATTTCCACGTGTGGGAGAAAATGCCAAAGGATTTCTCTGAGTGAATTCGGTCCATATAGCGTTTTGAGATATGTATATTAAACTTAATAAAAGCAGGTCCACCCACTAAAAATTAGACCTCAAATGCCCTTTTCTATTGCGATTCACTTCACAAATCACAGTATTTTATTTTCGGCTTAGTTATGGCACTTTATGATTTTAATTCGTCTCGTCATCCTGATCAGTTATATAATATATCCATTACCCGATAAGTGGTTGATAAACATCTATAACACCCGTCTTGCTTTTGAACTCTTGTAAAAATGTTAACCAAGAAAGTTCTGTCAATATTTTTTTCTTCTGCTCAGCAATTCCTTGAGCTCATCCTGAGAAAGACGAGCCGCTTTTTGAAGGTTTGCATCTTCCACATTTAACTCATCTAAACCGGTTTGTTTTGCTAATTTCACTATTTCATCCTATCGACACAGTGTCCAATGTCTTCACTTCTTCTTAAATCTGGCCAAATGTTCTTCCATAATTCTACTTGTATCAAAGATCTTTCTGTTATCTTATTCAAGAAAGGTTTATGTTTCTATAGCTTCATGATATTGAGGCAGAGAATGTTAATGTATAGAGGAGACGCAAATGTTAGCTGTTCCTCAATGTAAATTACTATGAGGAATTTCGAAACGCGCAAGTTCGAAAATAAATTTTCACCACCCTATCAGGGAACGCTACGAACTTAACCACTCTATAAGGGAACCAAGCAAAATGTACATACATATCCACAGACGTTCTTCGGCATGCGCATGAACATTAATCAAAATAATAACTAGTAAGAAGGGCGAAGTTCGAATCTAACCGAACCTTTATACTCTCGCAAAGTCCAATGGTATACTCGGTTTAGATTTCTTGTGAATCTTGCCGCCTTGTTTTATGTTGACCGATATTTTCAAGTCAACTAAAGGCACTGGGGTCCACATATTCAGTACCTAGGGCTTGAACAGTTTTGGTTCAATTTAGATAATTTTGGTCACAAGGTGGCATACTTTAAACATATTATTCACGCAAAGTTTTACGCCGATAAATCATAAAACTTATCTATTAACACAGAGGTACTTGTGAAGAGAATATTGTGGATATGATCTTGGAGAATCCAAAGGAAAATGCTCTTATAAACAAAAAACTATTTCAATTGGCTTCTGAAATTATAAATTGGAAACAATGCAAATATATTTACTAAAATCGATAGAACGGAATAATGACAACAAGCAATGCTTAAAGCGTCCCTTGATAGATGGGAAAGTTGTATCAATGTTACGCGTTTAAACTACACTCCAAATATCTTCAATAAAACTCAAACTCTTCAAAGTTATTGGTTCCGCAAATAATGAGTCCTACCGAATCAAAACCTCGTTGGACACGTAAGCTATGATGATGAAATTGTACTCATTTAATTAGAATATCGGAGTTATACACAATAATGAATCAAACAACAAAAACTCAGCGACAAATCTTGTTGCCGGAAATTATGACTGTGAAGCAGGAAGAGAAAATTAAACGTATCAGTATCAGTGATGAGATGTAGTCAATCATACAATGTGTTACCTGAAGGCTTGAGTATTTCTTTAGTTTAAGTGGAGAAATTTACCATCCTGCAACCACTTTCCACAGTGCAAATAAAAACAAAATGTAAAACAGTACATTTGTGTAGTGAAAGTGTATATTATGATTTGATGCATATACATAGAAAACACAACAGTTGCTCATCTATAGCAAGAATGTTGATGAGTAAGAAGAGCAAATGTTAAATGAAACTTTTGAGTACTAATTTGTAATTCCCATGAAGGAACATCGAAAATATAACTTCGAAAAAAAAAATACACCACACAATGTGCGAAATGCTATAAATAGACACAACGAATATTCCTATATGAAAAT